TCTGCTAAAATTACAAATCCTAAGACAGACATGAGCTTAGATATGCTATGAACTATATGTATAAATATAAAAAATATATAAATAAGTGGATTAACATAGAAATGTGCCTCTGGACTCTCTCAGGTGCGCTGGGGTGGAGGAGGCAGTGAGCTTCTAGCATTTGGTGTTTACTCATTACAGTTATGTAAACTAAAATTCAATCCTCAAATGTTCATTGTGTATGTGACTCCTTTCTGTATGCTAAGCAAACTCAGGACAAAGTGTTGGGTAGATGTCAATTCAAAAACAATGTTCTAGATTGCGGGACTTTCCTTTTATTCAGTCTGGTTCATGGTCTATGTAAGTATTACTTTAAAAGGCATACCTCAGCAACTTAATGACAAATTAAGTAATTTTCAAGGTATTACAAATACGAATGAAATACCATACTAAAGGACTGAAAGAAATGGTGCAGAATCTATGTTCAATTTCTATATGCTGATTATTATTCAAATAAATTTAAAGAGACACAACATCCCAAGCACTCAGGAGAGTGCCTTACATGTACTGGCAGTTAAGAAGTGCTGTTTTCTCCCCTTTGCAGGAAACTGTTTTCATCATCCCCTTTCCATTTCTCTTCCTTCTCTTCTTCGCATCGGTATAAGGTTTGGCTTTTCTGGAGAGTAGCTAAAAGTCTTGTTGAAGTGAGAGCCTTTACTCTAAGATCAAGAGCAAATACCCACTTTTTGGCCAAACATTAAGCCTAGTTTCCGGTTATACTTTTAAAAGCCAGACAGAGAGAGAGTAGCCTGCAGTTTATCTGTATTGAAAATGATAGGCTCTGATTCAAATGCATTGTGATTGACATCTTCTATACATCAATGAATACAGATTTGATGACGTTGAAACTCTACCTGCTAAGACAATTGTTGGAACTCCGAGTCAAATGTTTCAGAGTTTCTGTTTTGTTTTGTTTGTTTGTTTGTTTTAAAAAACAGTCTCACTCTGTCCCCCAGGCTGGAGTGCAATGGCGCAATCTTGGCTCACCACAACCTCCGCCTCCCAGGTTCAAGAGATTCTTCTGCCTCAGCACCCCCCACCCCCTGAAATGTCTGGGATTATAGGCAAATATTTCACTTTTAAAAGCATTACCTGTTACTCTCTGTGAGCACACCTCAATTTGTGAAATATGACCTATTTGAAGACAGAATGAGAAAATTCTTCTCTTTGACACTTTGCTTATTCATCCGATATATATTTAAACAAAGACATAAAGACAAAAGGACATGAGTTTTTGTCAAAGCCTGTATCTGGCTAACAGCCTCAGAAATCAAAGCCTGCACCACTGAAAGACGTAATGTAATTTAAAAATCCTTTAGGGATTTAAGAGGCATTTACAACTACCCGGCCAGTGGAACTAACAGGTTATTTTTTGCATGCATTTGTGTGATAAGAAGGCCCCTCCCCTGCCTCATTCTCCCTGTAGTAGAGAAATTCTGAGCATGAACATTCAGGAAACAGTGTCATTTGCTTTTTGGTGCTGCTTTGAAACGCTGCTTTTGTAATGGTCCCAAGCAAATACTTCTCTTGATGTAACCAACTGAATACTACAACTTGCAGAGGGAAAACAGTAAACAGAAAAGGCAGCATCTGTGTGTGTCCAGAGGTGCTGGAGATTTCATACTACAGCCTGGATACATTTTTAAAAAGGGGTAAGAAGGATGGAAGAAAAACTATAAAAACATAGTAGGTGATTAAAAACATACTTGAAGACTGAGCGAAGCACGATTGCTATGGCTGAAAGCTGAGTCATGGTGGATCAAGCTCATGTGATCTGGATTACAGGAAGCAAAGAACCAAGAACTAAACGAGATGAGAGGGTGGGGACTGATGACAGCCCGCAGGCATCCAAAATCCCCCTCAAAAAGTGTTTGCCATTTCTGTGTAGGTTTTCAACTATCCATCCATTCATTTCTTCGTTCATCCATCCATTTGACAAATATCCATGAGGCAACGGCTCTCTTCTAGCCATGGTACCAGGCTGTAGGGAAGAACTTAATGAGTATCCTGCTGTCATGGGGTTTAAGTTCTAGCAGGAGAAGAAGCATCATAAATAAGCAAACAAGTGAAGAAATAGAATACTGTCAGAGGGACACAGGCTTTAAAGTAAAGAAAACCGTGTGTGGGACAGTAGAGGCCTGGCTGCGGAGAAGGAAAATGAGCCACAGGAAGACAAATGAAAGGGGAGATGTTCCTAGGCACAGAAAAACAGGCACCGAGGTGCCAGGTGGGGACTGCGCTGAGCAATTAGTGACACTGTGCTCAGTGTCATATCCCATCATTTGGGAGATTCTTAGGTTTACAAAGACCTGCATATGTAAAGATGAGACTCTAAAATGCTTACCAGATCCATACCCAAACTGATTCTGTTGGTGTTTTAATAAAAGAAAAATCTGACATGCATTTATTCAGTGTGTGTATGTGCCTCACCTACAAAGGCAGACAATACTAGACTTATACTTCGCCTCAACACTAAGTGGTAAAAAGTTTATGCAGCACAGCTCTAGAACTTTGGTGCGTGAAATCTGCGGTCTAAGAATTGTAGTTAGTCAAATTGTTTTACAGCATCATCGGATATATAAATGCTTTGAAAAACAACAACCTGGTACCTTTTGGAAGATAATAGTGTTACCTGGTATGATGATCACTAATTGGCAAAAAAATTAAATTCAATTTCTGAGTATTGGGAAGTATTAGGTATTATGTAAAAATATACATAATTGGTTAAACAGAAGGTTATCAACAGGCTTAACTCCTAGAATTTTTCGTTGGGTGAATTAAAGATCATCTTAGCAAAACATATCCCACTGAGTTGGCCACAGTAAAATCTCTGTCAAACAAATTTTGTTTATGATTGTATTAGAAGTTTACAAATGAGCAGTTTTAGCATAATATTTTTCTTGTTATATGAATATTATAACAACACCATAGAAATGTATCAGGAACAGCCTTTCTTTTAGATAATATACACATTAAATTATGATGTCTGATACAAAAATATCACAAGAGTGTGTTCTAGTTACTATGACCATGTGACAAACCACTTAAAATGTAGTGGCTTAAAGCAAGATCAAAGTTTGTTCATTTTTCTCAAAAATCTGCGACTGGGGAGAATCTACATGATGACAGCATCTCTCTGCTTCTGCTGGAGGAAGCTGAGCTGGCTCAAGGCTGGGCACTGCAGTGTTTTCAGGTTTGCAGACTCACAGAGCTAGTGTTAACACTGAAAATACCTTGGGCTCCTCAGTTCCTCCACCTCTATGTGGTGTCTCCAGCCTGATAGCAGCAGGGTGAACACTCATTATGTGAGAGTTCCAGGCTTCCTTTGTGTACAGCCCAAGGGAGGTGTTACGGTTTGAATGCTGGTATCCTCCCAAATTCATATGTAGAAACCCTACCCCACCAATTTGATGGTATCAGGAGGGATGGCCATTGAGAGCTAATTAGGATTAGATGAGGTTATGAGGATAGCACCCTCAGGAATAGAATAAGTGGCCTTAGAAGAATCAAAACAGAGCTTATTACCTCTTTTTTTCTCTCCTTACCATGTGAGAACACAGCCAGAAGGCGGCCATCTGCAAGTCAGGAAGAGAGCCCTCACCAGAACCTGATCATGCTGGCTCCCGGTCTCAGGCTTCCAGCTTCCAGACTGTAGGAATATATGCTGGCCGTTCCTAAGCCACCCAGTTACAGTACTTTGTTATAGCAACCCCAATGGACCAAGATGTCCGAGAAAAAGCAGGAGGAAAGCTGTGTGACCCACTCTCAGAGGGTCAGGCAGGCTCTTTTCCACTCTCTTTCACAGAAGGCTCCAGAGTGTCAGCAAACGTTCTGGGAAGAGTAAAATTCTATCTGATCAGCGCCCTGTCAAAGGCCTTACAAAAGAGTTTTAATACCTTTGGTACTTGGAGAAAAAATGTTCAAAGGTAAAATACCCAAATGCAGCACTGACAGGTACTTCTTTTGTCATTTTACTTTTCTCAGTTTTCTTAAACATCTTTCTTTTTCTAACAAAAAAAGAATAAAAATTAGAAATGAGACAACTGGGTAAGCCTTTCCTCAATGCTTGCTGCTAACGATTCTCCTACACCCCCTCCCCAGTCTTTCTCTTCGTGTATCCTATTTATTTATCATCCAAATCCATGTATTTCCTAACAATAATATACAATTTACAGGCAGTTTGACATAAGCTGATATCAAGCCAGGAGAAGGTGAAACACGTAATGTAACGATGTGTGTTCCCATCTGTCATTCACCAGGTGCATGAACTTGGTAAGTCTATTTAACTCCTTTGAGACTCCTTACTCATAAAAGGAAACTCAAACCGCCTAACTCACTGAAGTATTGTGAGGATTAATCAGGTCGTTTATATACAATTGCAAAGGAGTGCATACATACCAAAGGCAGGTACCAAACAAATACTGCCTGGATTTAAAGCTTTACCATGCTTCACATAGGCCAAAATGACTTCTGTATTTTTTCAGGTGATGGATCATTAATGTGGGCTCAGCAGAGCAACAGATTTGAAACTAGCACAATTGTCTGTTCTTTGCATTCATAGAAAACACACAGCATTAAACATTAAGGCATAACATAAAAAATAAGGCAACCATTTCAGCCATTATAACTCTGCACTGGAATTTCCTATTTTAGAGGAAAATGGTGCACTTCCATTTGACTGGATAACATGCAACTCCTAATCACCAATTTCAAAAGGTGATAATTAATATGTAGCTCACAACAAACTTGATGAGAGAAAAAGCATCTATCAATTAGTCAACATGGTGCTTCAGGTACAGAACGCCAGGAGCCATGCTACAAAGGGTGTGCAAAGCCCTTCGTCTTCCAGCAAAACCAGGCTCATTCTCACTAATGACAAGGGAGCCCATTGTAAGTCAGCAAATTTCACAAATTAGCAAGTAAGAAAAAAGATAATTAAAAGAACTAGGGACACTGAATCATGGAATGTGCAGTGTTCATTTATTTTGACAAGTATAATTTAATTTTACTTATTTACAGTAATATTTCATAGTATAGTAATGAATGCAATCTTGCCTCTTTTGTAAAAGTAATGAAATATTAGTCATATGAGACGTCACTGCTGCTGTCTGTCATGAAATTGCTCCTGACAGGTGAGGTAGGACCACCACAGTTGGGTTTGCATTGGAATGGCAATCGCATTGGTGGCACAGTGGTGTGAAAGTGAATGGGAATTCACTGAGGGACTAACATCAAGGCTGTGCAAAGTTTATTGCCAAGTGAATACACACAATTTAAAGAGACATATTAGGTAAAAAGTGTATAGTACTCTTCTTGTACGCTCTAAAACTATGTCTTCTTTGGGAAATTGGAATCACTATTTTTTAAAAGGCATTTTTAGATGCTGAGAAGCATTAGTACTTCTTCAAGAATCCTATTTCTATCAAAGACTCTCTCTTCCTTCAAGACAAGAAGGCTGAAAAACTTAGAAATGGTCTTCTCTGTTTCATTTTCTCCCCTATACATTCACTGACAATTACTCACCGTTCTTCTTCTTCTTTTTTTTTTTTCTAAGACAGGGTCTCACTCTGTCACCCAGGCTAGAGTGCAGTGGTGTAATCATGGCTCACTGCAGCCTTGACTTCCTGGGCTCAAGTAATCCTTCCACCTTAGCCTCCAGTGTAGCTGGGACCACAAGCATGTGCCACCACGCTTAATGTTCCTGCATTTTTTGTAAAAATGGGGTTTACCATGATGCCCAGACTGGTCTCAAACACCTGAACTCAAGAGATGCACTCCCCTCAGCCTGCAAAAGTGCTGGCATTACAGGCCTGAGCCGCCGCCCCTGGCTGCCATTTTTTTTTTTTAGCTTCATTGGTGTATCACTGACAATTTGAAATTTTACTTATTTAAAGTGCACAATGTGTTGTTTTTGTACATGTATACATTTTGGAATATCCTCACAACCCAGCTAATGAACACATCTACTGCCTCGCAGTGGCCAGGGAATAGGGCTGTCTGCTAGCAGGACAGACACGTTCTACGGTGTCTGGAAATCATATATCCATTCCCTGCCATGTTACCTTTTGGGACATTACTTGTTTCTGGATCCTCATACCTCTCTGCATGCTTGCTCCAAGTCTACCTTCCTGGTTTTCTTTAAATTTTATTATCGACCAGTATTGTACAGTTACATCTTGCTACTGTTATTCTCACCGCATATGTACCAGGTTTTAACTGACCTGGAATGTTTCTGACTTACCTCTAATCCAGCCCACGCCTCCTGAGTGTCTCATTGGTGCCTCAAACTAAAATGGACTCATACTGAAATCATGATGTCATCTCTAAACAGTGTCTTTTTTTCTGCATTCCTGGGTTCAACGACCATCATCATTTCCATGCAAGGTAGCCAAAGTCAACTCCAACTCTCCTTTCTCCAGTGACCTGTTCAGCCCCATTCCTGTGCTTCTTCCGTAACTTGAGAATCTGTTGTAGCCCAGCCTTGTCTCTTTTCTTTTTCTGTAGAGTCCTGTCAACTTGTCTGATTCTTTCTTCCCATCGAGGCCATCCTTTCACACAGCAACTGAGGGGCACTAGCTTGGTCTCAAGGTCCTCTTGAAGCTTCTCAGTTGAAATCTTCAGAAACTCCTCAAGTCCTTGAGGAAAAGCCCAAGGTTTTGCTGTAGAACGGGAAGTCCTTTACGATCTTCTAAATTCTGCTTTTCTCCTTCTTCCATCTTCACTATTCATCCAACAGGTCCTTACACTGCTCAGATGTCACCTTCTCTGAATTCAACTCCTACTTCCAAGACTCATAAACAAGTCTCTTCCAATTCTCACTATGCTGTCCTACAATCATCTGCTACTTGTCTTTCTCCCCAACTGGATTGTGTATTAATGGATCAGTTTAGCCCTGGTATATTTTCCTGTGTCTGGCACGCAGCAGACACTCAGTATTGGTTATGTGAGTAACCAAATACATTGATTAGATCATTTCATACTTTCCTGATGTAACACCAAGATAAAATAAATTGCTGTCTTTTATCACATATGATCTAGTTTCCAATCTCACTTTTGGACAATATATTTGGCTCTGTGTTGAGCCTACTGGCATCTTCAACCAGGCAGCACCTGGCAAGACAGAGACAAAATAATACAACAGAAGAACAAGAAGTAAAAACCCAGCCAGGGCCGAGTCGCCTCCTCATTCACTGCCTCCTGGATTCAGTATCCCACCATTTAACACTTGAACTTTCAGCTGCTGAGATTTGGAGCGAGGGCGCTTAATTAGTCAACAAGACATGACAACACTCTGCTACAGTGAGATTACATACACCTGTGGGTGTTAGGACACACACGGTAAAACCCAGCAACTTCGGAGACCTGAAAAGAGTGTTATCTTCCAGCAGCACATGGGAGAATGTTGCGGGAGATAAAACACACAAGACAAATGGAAGAATGGAGCCCATAGAATTCCAAATACATTTTCCCTCCCTGTGTCCCTCGAAGAGTATGGCGAGCTGGATTAACAAAGAGTTGTGAATATCTTTAAACAGAGAAAATAATGTGTGTTCCTAAAGGGACTTACTCCAGGGACCATAAAAATCTGTGCAGACATCACATCACTATATTATAATTTCTATTCCATTTATAATTCGTTATTTATTCCACAGTATTAATGCAAAATGCATATGTCTTTATTTGTTAAAGGAGGAGAAGGATGTTTAGGGACCATTGGGAATTTCTTTTCACATAATGATGTTTCTAACTATGGTGGGGCTCAGAGTATAACCGAAAATTGACGCTCCACAGAGTCAGGGCCAGATTCCCATGGCCTTGGGAGGGCAGAGCTGATCTCTGTCCAACTCAGTTGACCAGATTTGTCGTCTTTCTTATACTTTATCACCTGCACATCATTGACTTCTTCAGGGAGATCCATGTGGGAGCCTCTCCTTTGGCTGACTGTGCCAGTTTGCCCATGATGGTGTGAAGCACACTCTACAAAGCATTCTCCTGCCCCAGCCCTGGAGGCAAGCGGAGAAGAGCACCTTTGAATCTTAGCTTCCTTCCCAGTCACAGATTGAATAAACATTATGGTCAGCTGCGTCCAGAGAGAACAGAGAAGGTGCTCCAGGGAGAGAACTGACATGAACCCTGTCAGCATGTAGGCATATGACATAAGCATCAAGGCAAAGAAAGCCTAATAAAATAGGGCTATGAGGGGGAAGAAGGGTACTGTGTAGTGTCGGATGATCACAGCAGTTCTCTCTGAGAAAGCAATGTGTTTTTTTGTTTGTTTGTTCGTTTTAAGAGATGGGGTCTTGCTATGTTGCCCAGGCTGGAATGCAGTGGCTATTCACAGGTGCGATCCCACTACTGATCAGCACAGGAGTTTTGACCTGCTTCATTTCCGACCTGGGCTGGTTCACCCCTCCTTAGGCAACCTGGTGGTCCCCCACTCACAGAAGGTCACCACACTGATGCCAAACTTAGTGCGGACACCCAGTCACCGTAGCGCACTACAGCCCAGAACTGGGCTCAAGAGATCACCAGCCTCAGTCTCCCGAGTAGTTGGGACTACAGGCACGTGCCACCACACCCAGCTAGAAAGTGATGTTAAAGCAATGATACACTCAAGTAATATGAAAAGAGCTACGCGATACCAGCCCACCTGGCATTTCTCCACCATCCACACCCAGCACCTTACACCTCCTCTCCTTCACTTCTGCAGTCTCCACTTTGCCAGGACAAGTCCAAGGCCCTAACAGACCGCAGCGTCAACCTCTCTCTCACTCTCTCCCTCTCTCTATTCTCAGGAGACTCTCTGTGGAAAGCACTAACACTATGATCATAATTAAATGGATATGGCCCAGCCGGGTGCGGCGGCTCACACCTGTAATCCCAGCACTTTGAGTAGCCGAGGCAGGCAGATCACCTGAGGTTGGGAATTCGACCCCAGCTTGACCAAAATGGAGAAACGCCATCTCTACTAAAAATACAAAAGTAGCCAGGCCTGGTGGCACACGCCTGTAATCCCAGCTACTCAGGAGGTTGGGGCAGGAGAATCGCTTGAACCTGGGAGGTGGAGGTTGCTGTGAGCCAAGATCACATCACTGCACTCCAGCCTGGGCAACAAGAGTGAAACTCCATCTCAAAAAAAAAAAAAAACAAAAACAAAAACAAATAAATAATAAAAATAAATTGATAGGGCTTAGAGCCTTATTATTCAGAAGGGATGATTTAAAATTTTTAAATCTCTTTTCTCTTTTCAAATCTGACTTTCAAAACTAAGTATGACTAAGGAGATGAAGAAAATCCATCCTTGTTTTAAAGTCTTCATCAAGACACTTCGTTCTCATAAGAGAATCTACTCTCTGTTGCTGTGGGCAACACCCTTCCTGGCTCCTTCTTGGGAGCAACAGGCTAGAAGGGAACATAATTTTGGGGGGAAATAAAGACATATCAATTCACTATTCTTCTAAGTATCTTCTATTATTCTGTATGTCTTTAGACAAGGACACTGCCAGGCCCAAAGACTGTCATCTTTGTCCTTAAAAGATGCCTTTGCTTCTCCTGTAGAAAGAGGAGACAGGCAGGCAGCCAAGGAGTCAGCTTCAATATTGTCTTTAATCTTATGGACTCCATGAGCAACTTCTTACTTATCGGTGTCTTTCACAGCAAGGACATTGCTGTCCACAGGTGGTGAAGGCTGGGAAGACTCCTCTTCCTCCTGATGAATGAACTTTTACAGGGAATCAGGAAAGGCTTCTTTCAGATACTCATTCCTACTTTATGATAGGAGAATCCATTTGTCTCAGAGCTCAGTGAGGTGGAGGTAGAGGGGCGGTCCACTGCAAATCCAATCAATGTTGGCACTCTGTAAACAAGCAGGGATGGGTATTTGGCCATTTGGGATGTCCTTGGGAATGGACTTTAATTTAGGCAGTCACAGTAAACCCCAACCTCCCTGATGACTGTTGAGATGTCTGCTATCAGACTAATTTTTTTTTTTTTTATTGGGGGTCTGCTTTTTCTCAGTGTGTGTGTGTGTGTGCACATGCACACGTGTGTGTGTGAATCATGTCTTGTACTGAGTAGCATGCAATTTCACTGTAATGAGTTTAGGTATATACTCATTTGTGTGTGTGTGTGTGTGCGTGTGTGTGTGTTAATCATGTCTTGTATTGGGTAGCATGCAATTTCACTGTAATAAGTTTAGGTATATACTCATTTGTGTGTGCGTGGGTGTGCGTGGGTGTGCACGTGTGGGTGTTAATCATGTCCTGTACTGGGTAGCATGCGATTTCACTGTAATGAGTTTAGGTATGTACTCATATGTGTGTGTGTGTGTGTGTGTGTGTGTGTGAATCATGTCCTGTACTGGGTAGCATGCAATTTCACTGTAATGAGTTTAGGTATGCACTCATGTGTGTGTGTGTGTGTGTGTGTGTGTGTGTGAATCATGTCCTGTACTGGGTAGCATGCAATTTCACTGTAATGAGTTTAGGTATATACTCATTTGTGTGTGTGTGTGTGTGCGTGTGTGTGTGTTAATCATGTCTTGTATTGGGTAGCATGCAATTTCACTGTAATGAGTTTAGGTATATACTCATTTGTGTGTGCGTGTGTGTGCGTGGGTGTGCACGTGTGGGTGTCCTGTACTAGGTAGCATGCGATTTCACTGTAATGAGTTTAGGTATGTACTCATATGTGTGTGTGTGTGTGTGTGAATCATGTCCTGTACTGGGTAGCATGCGATTTCACTGTAATGAGTTTAGGTATGTACTCATATGTGTGTGTGTGTGTGTGTGAATCATGTCCTGTACTGGGTAGCATGCGATTTCACTGTAATGAGTTTAGGTATGTACTCATGTGTGTGTGTGTGTGTGTGTGTGTGTGTGTGTGTGTGTGTGTGTGAATCATGTCCTGTACTGGGTAGCATGCAATTTCACTGTAATGAGTTTAGGTATGTACTCATGTGTGTGTGTGTGTGTGTGTGTGTGTGTGTGTGAGAATCATGTCTTGTACTGGGTAGCATGCAATTTCACTGTAATGAGTTTAGGTATTCACTCATTTGTTTTTCTTAGGACTTACTGAGATTCCTGATTCTCCAGACTCCATTCTTTCATAAGTCATGGGAAAAATATTTATTATTTCTGTGAATATTGCCCCTCTTCAACTTTTTTTTCTGTTTTATTTGGTTCTCTAATCAGCGATAGGTTATTTCTAACAGGTAATATGAGATTTCACTGTAATGAGTTTAGGTATGTACTCATATGTGTGTGTGTGTGTGTGTGTGTGTGTGTGTGTGTGTGTGTGAATCATGTCCTGTACTGGGTAGCATGCAATTTCACTGTAATGAGTTTAGGTATGCACTCATGTGTGTGTGTATGTGTGTGTGTGTGTGTGTGTGTGTGTGTGAATCATGTCTTGTACTGAGTAGCATGCAATTTCACTGTAATGAGTTTAGGTATATACTCATTTGTGTGTGTGTGTGTGCGTGTGTGTGTAATCTAACAGGTAATATGAGATTTACCTGTTAGAAATACCTTCATCTCTTTTGGCTCGATATGGGACAAATTATTCAAATCTCTTCTACCACACATTATTTCTTTTTTCATGAGCATCATATATGCTGCTCCTCTCATTTAAATTATCCCAATTTCAATGATACCTTTTTAACGAGTTCCATTTTTTTTCCAGAATCTATCTTGTATTTTTGAAGCATCCTTTGTCTTTTCTAATAACGATATTTCCGTTTTTAAATGTCTTTAAGCATTTTAAGCACACTTGTTCCACATGAATTTGGGGACTGGGGATACGGGGAATCTCGTTTCCCCAGAGTGGTGTGCGTGTGTTTCCACCAGGGGCGCCAGGCTTCCCAGGCTTGATCATCTCCATCACAGCCCTCACCCTTTAGGAGTTAGGTCCGTGGTTACAAACGTTCAGGGAAGTTCCCGCCACCTGTGTTTTACGTAATCCGCACTCACACCCATGTAGACACAGCCTGGGAGTCGTTCCAGCCCCCTGAGATCGTAGGCAGGTTTTTTTTTTCTTGCATACTTTTCAGCGAGGGTTTAGCCCAGCAAGGACCAGGCTTAGCTGGATAGGTAGAGAAGAAGATGGGTGTAAGTTTTGATTTCTGACCCAAGGATTTAAGGACTCAACTTCTGTCTCCTGTGGTGATTGCCCCCAATCCCTCGGTGCACAAATTGGAAAAGCATTCCTGTGTCTTCCCGGTATCTCCCAACACTCAGCTCTTCACTCTCCTGAACTCAGCCAAGCATTCAAATAATGCTTGTAGTCATGCACGCAGGATTTCCAGGAGGTGTCAGAGGCAGTACCTTCAGGAGACCTGCTACCACACTGTCAAAGTTGAAATAAAAAGAAATGGTTCTAATTCTTTTCTGTAGGGACCTCTGCAGAATTTCTAATGATACAAACACATTAATAGCATGTAATTCTCAAACTAAAAAAAAAAACAACCACTTTCTTAATGGACTATATTTTCTTTTATGAGTAATTATACTTTAATAAAATATTCATTCTGATGTTAAAAAAAAAGCATTTTTTTCTATTTATATGAAAAGCCACAGGATGGCTATTTTATGTCATAATTTAATGGATTAATCTAATTGATTTTATTTTATTCTGGCAATAATGCCTTGAGGTAGGTTTCATTACTTTGTTTTGTTTTCTTTCTTTTTCTTTTTTCTTTTTTTTTTTGAGGCGGAGTTTCGCTCTTGTTACCCAGGCTGGAGTGCAATGGCGCGGTCTCGGCTCACTGCAACCTCCGCCTCCTGGGTTCAGGCAATTCTCCTGCCTCAGCCTCCCGAGTAGCTGGGACTATAGGCGTGCGCCACCGTGACCAGCTAAATTTTTGTATTTTTAGTAGAGACGGGGTTTCACCATGTTGACCAGGATGGTCTCGATCTCTTGACCTAGTGATCCACAAAGTGCTGGGATTACAGGCTTGAGCCACCGTGCCCGGCTCATTTTGTTTTGTTTTCTAAGAGAAAAAACTGAAAGTCAAAATAAAATGAAAAGTTGAATAAAAATGAGCAATTCTTTCAAAATTCTAGTATTTGCAAAGGCAAAGGTAAGGTCTGAACCAAGGTTGTCTAAATCCAAAGTCAATTCTTCTTTCGCCAGTGACTTTCAAAGTGAGACTCCTGTTGATCTCCATCAGGAATCCCCTGACGCTCCAGGACTCCTGAGAAGACCTACCCAGACACCATGACTAGAGATGAGAATGGATACACCTTTCCAAAGGTCTTCTGGGAAATCCTTTTCCACTGAAGTTTGGTAAACGTTGCATGCTCTCTTTAATCAGAGACTTTGTATGTGTGTAGTCAAATCCTCTGGAGAACATCAACTATGACTACACCCCATTATTTTGTTCAAGATGCAGAAAACAAATGTAAGATCAACAGTATGTGGAAGACACAGGAGATCAGAGTGAGGCTGGTCTTTTATGAGCAGATGCAGCTTGACGGGGCACGGGGGGATTCATGGGGGAGGATTCCTTCTGATGCTACCACTTATCTTGGCCAAAATTTTGTCTCCATGCCTGCCATTTTCTCATGTCTTTGAATTTTTACCCAATCTGATAGCCTGGAGTACTTCAGATGTGAGCCAAGAAAGGATGGTGGGGTGAGTGGCCAGAGAATAAGACAGAGGTGACACATGTTTGAGGAAAGAGGACAGGGGAAAGGAGAGAGACCAGGGGAGGGAGGCAGAGATTACACAGGATGACTCTAGTCCAGAAAATCAGAGGGCGAACCGCCGCGTTAAAAAATTGCCTGCTCTGTCTGAATCTGTATCTCCTCATTTGTGTAATGGGGATTAAAAACCATTGCCTTGAATAAGAAAACCGATGGAAAGTGCTTCGAGGAGAATGGGGGTAGTGATGCTGATTGTGTCCTCGTAGCAAACAGGAACACAGTGTGGTAGTGAGGATGGCAAGGAAGCCATTTCCCCTGGCTGAGACACGCCAGGGGAAGGAGAAGCTGCCGGGGTCTATACCCGAGGCCTTGTGATATTAATCACACAGAGGCTTCCCAGAACCATCTCCATGTTCAGCACTGCCCACCCGCCTCATTTCATCCTGAGCCTGCACCAAGCTACACATGAGAAAGGGTCAGACATCCTGTGTTTGAGGCAGGTGAGAAGCTTGTGATAAGCCCCTTACTTGCATTTACAAGACCAAATGTCCTGGAGCCTGGGGCATATAAACTATGGTATACAGCACACAGCGTTACAAGAGAAAGTGTACTTTGCCAAGGCTGGGAGAGGAAAGGCATTCCTAGTGGAGGGACACATGCAGAGTTGAAAAGGGCTGAGGCAGCCTCTTGGTGATGGGCCACAGGTGTTGAAGAGAGGGGCGTGGTGACTAGGAGTCTGCACAGGTGCATGGAGTGGTTGAAAGCACATTTGCAAAGTCTCGAGTGCCGTGCTGAGAAGCCTATTCTATAAGTGCTGGAAAATAAGAGCCTTCTATGTGAAAAACCAATCTAGGGTCAGAGTGGACGACAGATGGGAGAATAAGGGAGGACCTGGATATAAGAAACCCATTAGGTGCATTAGAAATCACACCGCCAAGAATTGATGAGTACCTGAATTTGGGCAATAGTAGTGGGCATGAGAGGAAACGGGGGTTCCAGAAATGTTTCAGCAGCAGAAGAAGCAGAATTTGGAAAACAAATTAAGGGGATATAGGGATTGTGTGTGTGTGTGTGTGTGTGTGTGTGTGTGTGTGTGTGTGTACTGGATTTCTACTTTGGGCTAATAATGAGAATGTCATAGATTACACATAGGTAATTTGGAGAAGAAGCAGGTTGTGAAGGACAGGTCAGAAGTAGAGCAAGCAAGGACACTTACTTTATTTGAATGGCTGGAGGTTGTGGTGCCTGCAGAATGGGACAGAGCTGACCAGCAGGCTTTGAAACCACCCAGGATTCAACAGAGAGGGATGAGCTGGCTGTCAACGTTTCATAAACACCAGAATATGATTGGAAGTTAAAGCCCTAGGTGTTATGATGGTTCAGCTGATGATGTGTCTGGGCTTAGGGATGCCCAGATACCTGGTGAAACTCTCCTACTGAGCATATCTGTGAAGGTGCTTCTGGATGAGATTGGCATTTGATTCAGTAAGCTGAGCAAAGATCACCCTCACCAATGTGGGCGGGCACCATGCAATCTGCTAAGGGCTTGAATAGAACGAAAAGGCAGAGGAAGGGTGAATTTCCTCTCTGCTGGACCTGAGACATCCATCTTCCCCTGTTCTTGCACGTCAGTGGTCCTGGTTCTCAGGCCTTTGGGCTTGGACTGGAATCACATGAGCAGCTTTGCTGGGCCTCCAGCTCTCAGGTGGAAGATTGTGGGACTTCTCCGTCCCCACCATTATTTGAGCCAATCCCTCATCATAAATACCTTTCTGTATATCCCTATATGTGCTATTGATCCTGTTTCTCCGAAAAACTCTAATACAGGTGTCAATGAGAACATCCAGGGAAAGGGAGAGCCTTAGGGGAAGAAAGGAAATTGGAGGAATTGTGAAACATGGCCATTCCTAAGAAGTGGACAACCCGTGAGCGTGATCAAAAGCTACTCTAAGAAGAAAGGCCCACAGCGGAAAGACGCAAGACAGAAGATGCCGTAGAGGGGACGAGTCTCCGGGTGTGTCACGCTTACCCTTCTAACCACTGCTCAGCCCTGCGCATGGACAAGGGATGGGGAAGAGCTTGGCATATTCCAGCTCTGACCTAACGTCTTGGCCAGTCCTGCATCCTGAGGCCCAGCCGGAGGCAAACCAGAGAAAGCCACAAATCAGCAGAGCGCTTTTCCTGCAGAGAGAATTCCGCTGCGACCCTACGAAGCGGGTTGTACATGTGTGCACTGGGACATGCATGGTGTGCTCGTGCGTGTGCACACATGCCTGTTTAGTTTGTGAAATTGAACGCCTGATTTCAAGCCTCGTTTTATCGTGAGATGGAACAGATTGCTGCCCAGAGAGAAACAGGTCCAGCCTGGATGTTTGATGGTTCTGTCTCTACCTACCCATCACCTCTGTTTCAAGGAACATTACGCACCACTTGAAAAGTCAGTTCTTTCTTGACAGATCTTCTTTTGTTTCTTTATTGGTTTGTTTGTTTCCAGCCACAGATTAGTTTACACTCTGGGAGATGATAGACACGTTTTGTTATCTGAAAAAGAGAGATAACGATCAGCTCGCAGTCCTGAAAATAGTCAGAAGACGCCCATAACTGTACACAATTTATCTGAAATGCTAAGAACCATCAGGCTTTTTCAATGTGCGATTTTTTTGTTCTGAATACCTTCAATTGAATCATATTTTTGCTTTTAAGTGTGGATTTTCAAAGTGGAATTATGTGTGTCTCTGTTTTTCTTTAGGCAGTGGTGATAAATCTGTGCCTGGGAGTCTTTTATCTGAATAATTAAAGTGATATAATAAAAATGACCTCTCAGCCCTATAGACCCAGTGAGCTTTGGGCTGATGATGGAATAATCAAAAAATCAGAGAACAGGCGCATACATAGAGCTCCTGAGCAGGTAAGACCCGGGCACACTGAAAGCTGACGTCAGAGACAATGGGAGACAGAGGCAGAGGGGATCACAGCCTCCAGCACCAAGTGCAAGGTAGGACCAGAGATCACGTTTGTGACAAGGAGACGCCTTGCATGGTGGGCGGGGGAGGCATAGGGGAAGCGAATAAGGAGAAGGCCAGGCTTGGAGGAGCAGGTGTCTAATGGGAGAACCGATCAGGGGGCAGTTTCTTGGGGAGAAACCACTTCACACTGTTCCATTTATAGCATCTCAGGGCATGGAGTCATTTTTCAAGAGAAGGAGCTGAGACAAGGATCTCTGACTTGCACTTTCTTGTTTCTTTCTTTTTGTTGTTGTTGTTGTTGTTGTTGTTCTTGTTGAGATGGAGTCCTGCTCTGTTGCCCAGGCTGGAGTACAATGGCGTGATCTCAGCTCACTACAACCTCCGCCTCCCAGGTTCAAGCAATTCTCCTGCCTCAGCCTCCTGAGTAGCTGGGAATACAGGCACCTGTCACCACACCTGGCTAATTTTTGTATTTTTATTAGACATTTGTGTCACCATGATGGTCAGGCAAATCTCGAACTTCTGACCTCGTGATCCAAGCCTCAGCCTCCCAAAGGACTGGGATTACAGGTATGAGCCACAGCACCAGGCCCTGACTTGCAGTTTCTTTGTACACCTGCACAAACTGTTGATGACCTTAGCTCTCCTGTTTATAATATGGGCCACTTCTTCAACAGGGCACAAGGGTACAAAGGGATGGGTGGCTGGGAATCAGCCACTGTCGTCTGGATAGTTTGAGCCCCTTCAGGCACCAGAGGAACCTGGGCCAGGCTGGTTTTACTGCAGCCTCCTTGAGTTTTGGAGACAGCAGGCCCAGGAAGGAGAGGGAAACAGCACATTCAGTCCCCTCCTGGAAGGTGCAAGAACATCTGTGAAGAGGGTGGAGGACAGGCCCTCAAGCAAGGCCCCAACACGGTTCTGGCAATAACATGATTTCCAAGGTGGCAGATGACAGGGCACAGGCCCACGCCTGCTGCAGGCCCATGTGAACGGGACCAACTGGCAGAATAAGCGCTGAACCCCCTAAAATAACAACCACCGCAGTCACACCGCACAGAACTGGGTTGTTCGGCAAATAACAGAAGCCCATGTCACCACCCTTCATTGTCTGTTATGCCGCTGCAGAAAATACAGTTATTTTGGTAGCGGGAAATACTGTGTGTCCCAGCTCCCAGGCACAGACGCAGTTTGGGCGATAAAATAGAGTTGAGGTCACTAAAGTGGCCTCTGGTCTTCACGCCTTGTGTCCAGGGCTGGCTGTATGCCTGATGTCCTTAGAATGAATGCTATGTATGACCTTCTTCCTTTGATAAATGAAATTGCTTGGCTCACACACTTTTTAATGTGGTTTTTATAGAATCTTTCAGAGCAAGGGAGAAAGAGAAAGAGCGAGAGAGTCTGTGGCTGCCTTTCTTGAAAAATCACTGTGGGCCACAGCGGAACTCTGAAAGTAACAGTGTGAAGTCATTCTGGTGCTCGCCGTTTGGGATGGCAGATGGGAAGCAGGTGCGTTTCTGCAGGATGAGCTGAAGAAGAGGGGCTTAATTAAAGAACACGCTCACGGCATCCAAAAGATCTTGAATTGCCACCGTGTGGGCCTGCCTTTCCCCTTCCCCAGAATCTTTTTAACTCTTTTCATGGTGGGTCATTGTCCTCCCTGCAGCCCAAAGCAATGAGGTCGGGGCTATTATTTTCCTCGTGGACAAATGGCTCTGCGGAGCTGGCTGCTGGGCCAATGGAGCCTTCTGTGGCCACTGCAATTGAACTGGCGCTCAGGGAAGTGGCCCCAGCTGCTGCCTGTCACTAATTGTTGCTGGGACCCAGGCTTCTGGTCAGCTCTGGTCCTGCCTCTGCTGTCTACACTGCCTGTTTTTCCTCCCATCTTCCAGAGATGAGGCTTCCTTTTGTTCCTCAGGGTATTGCATGTTCACATGCCCTGCAAATGCGGAAGTTGGTCTTCTCAGTTGTGCGGAGTCTCTATGGGCCTCTGTGCCTTTGCTCACTTCTGTCCAACAGGGAGCTTCTTGTCACTCCTCTCCAGCCCGCCTATGTGGGTGGCCTCATGAGCTCTAATTCAAAAGATGACAGGGGAGCACTGGAAGGACCCCCGGAGGCCCTGGGCCTGCCCTCTGGGTGTCAAAACAGGAACATTTGGGGTCAGGAGAGGAGAAACTTTGCAGGATGAATTGCGGCAAATCCAGGCACATGCCAAAGAATGCTGATTCCCAGTGCCTGAAATGGGGGGGTGTTCTCACCAGCTTCTAGGCCTGGTGGTGCGGAAGAGTGGGCCCTCCTCAGTCCCGACTGGAAATCCAAGGGACTGGGAGCCACCCCGAGGGAGAAGGCCTGCATTCGAACCCTGTGCTAGAGCCTGGGTCAGGGCCACATTGCATCCAAGAACAGGACGACTCTGCAGGGCTGGCCTCTAGACCAAGTGAAGTAGAAATAGGAAAAGCACCCCTGTCTCCCGTGAGCAGTGTTTCTGAAGGGCACTGGTGGGGAGGGAGGTGAAGGTACCAACTCACACTTCCCTCCAGGACCCAAACTTCACAGAAGGCCCTACCAATATAGCTTCCATACTGCACTGCCTAATTTTGGATTCTTTATGACAGCAAAAAGAAAAAATTTATATATATATATATTAAGCAACTGTTTACGACTGAGACCCAGGGAAGTGACATAGTTTGCATAACTAATTAGTGGCAGATCCAAGCCCCTGTTATATCATCTCCTTATTTTAAATCAATTGCAAAGCTTTGCAAACCTTTCAAATAAGCACATCTCTGGCATTTAATGACCTTTTTATGCTTAGTTCAAGAGAGTGTACTTGCTTTAAATAAATACTAAGGGCATGAAATACATTGATATGTGCACAAAAGGCTGTTTATATTATAGGAGCTATGTATTAAGCTCCTATTGTGTGCTATGTATTTTTTTTTTCTCTGCATAAACAGCATTCTCTACTATAGCTCAGCAAGGCAGGCATTATTGCCCCTGTTCTGCAGCTGAAGAAGCTCTCACTAAGAAGGATAAAATAGCAGAGAAGCTGGAAAAAGATCATGCACGAAGCAAATAAGGAAATGAGAAGGAATGCCCAGATCCGCCTGGCCTGGAAGCCGGTGGTAGCAATTTCCCTGGTGTGAAAGAGCTCATCCAGGGATGAGGTTTATTTACGAACAAAAGAGAAGCCCCACCGAATCACTCCTGTAGATTTTTCTTTTTTAGTCTAAGGAGTGGTAGGAAAAACTGTAAAGAATGGGAAATGGACAAGCAGAGCTGGCAAGTGTTCTGGAGTGAAGACCCCTCATGACAAGGATTAAACCATTCTCTCAGCCCAAATGTGATTTCTGAAGCTGGGTCCCACTCAGCATGTTTTCCACAGAAACGCTGAGGAGGGAGGGGCTCTTCCCGGGGTGGTTACACACAGCCGCGGTGGCCAGCGCAATGTGACTTACACGGCATGTACACGCACACTCTCACACTGGTGATTCTCAGGCTGTTCGTTCAACCGTCCATTGAGTTTGACATCATAGATGGGGGTTGCAGGGTGCGCAAGGGAATCATCTGATTTTCAGAGAGGAAAAAGTGTTTGTTGTATATATACTTCCTGTCTTTATCTTCATTATTTTTTTTCACTCAGCACTTCCAATTTCCACATATAAACAGAGTCAGTGGAAAGCGTTTATTATCTAAAACTGTGCTATCTGAAATTCCCTCTACTCTTCTTCTATGGGGCCATGTTGATCCGGACCACTCCTGAATGTAAATGACACAGTCAGAGGCTTTGCAGTCCTGGGGCCCACGGTGCATTTTACATGTGCACATAAACACACAGGACGCCCTGTCTACAAACCATGTTGTCCCCAGAACGAAGTATTTAAGTGTCCCCATGGTAATGATCAGAGATAAGACTTTCACATTGTTGTGATGGCAAAGGGAGGGTACATTTGCATCTGTTAATAATCACCACTCTTTTAAACAGCAGTAACAACTCTGAGCTTTGCTTGCTTATTGATTTAACCTGTACCAAATGCCCATGTGTGCTTGTACTCACTAGGTTTTTTACCATTTAATTCTCCCCTTACGCAGACACGTGTGATGTGTGATGTTCATTCTCCTTTGAGGATTTTGTCACTAAAAGCTTTCCTCTATTGGGAAAAATGTGAAAATATTCCTCTCCATCTGCAGTCAACCCATTTGGAAATAGGAGCAAGGCTTCCACAGACTCCATTTTTTTCTTTCTATCAAGTATCCTTTGTGAGATAAAGCTCTAAGGATGGAAATTAGCCGCTTCTGTCCTGAGAATCTTCCCAACCCTATTCTTTCAAAGGGATTGTCCAGAAGTCTCTGGACCACCTCAATGCAGACACGCACGGCTGGCTGACGGCCTCGCTTCGATAGAAAGCCTTTTAAAACATGCTCCCATGGTCCTGAAAAAGGCTCTCTTCTTGGGGGCTTAGGCCCGAGGAGAGGGAGCCGGGGCTCCGGAACTGCTCGGTGCAGCTCAGGAACTGTCCTCGTGCAGATCTGAGAAGACTCCAAAGCACAGAAAACGAGGAGAATTTAAAAATCATGTTTGTTCAAGGGATGGGGGAAAGGAAAAGAACAGAAGAAGGAGGCAGGGGAAGAAATTTATAGCGGAAAGGTTACCTCGGCGATTTCTCCACCCTGGGGGTCATCCTAGAAACGTCCCTCCTCCAGGCTGGGGGTGGTGCCAGTTGCCAATAATCCTCTGTTCCCGGAAAATAAAAACCAGGCGGTTAGCAAATGTCAAGATTAAAAAAGAAAACCAGCTGAACAAGGGAACAGCCAGGATGGGCTGCTCCATGGGCGCCTGCCTCGGGAGCCCCAGCGCAATCAACAGCTCTTTAAGACGGCTGGACGTCATTTCTCTGCTTTGAAAAACCCAGCCATCTCTTGGAGAGCCAAATCGATTAGAGGCCACCTTTTGTGAACGTGATGCTATCATTGTGGTTGTAATTTATGCAAAGACATTCTGTGGCACACGATGATTAAACTATAGTCTACGAGGCAGGATCTCTATAGCCGGTTCCCCCCTCCGGATTTTGCACTTTTATCTACATTAGTATCAGGTCTGTGAAATTTTGGTGCACATGCTTTTCAGCCTGGATGACAGAACATTTCCACGTTTCTGTGTATTTTTGAGGTGGAGAGAACAGTACCGCCACTGGGAGATGCAGCCGAGCCTACCAGGTAAAGGCGATGTGATTCTTTTACAGAAAGAAAGAAAAGCAGACGGAAAGGGTTATTTCCTAAGACAGGGGTGAAGCTGTTAATAAAATAACAAAATACTAGAGAAAATAAATTTAAAAAATGAAAGCATTGTGACCTAGCTCTCTGAACATCAGAGTCATCAGCACACAGGGCTACGTGCGCAGAAAGGAGGCTCCAACGGTAACTCTGCTTCTTACCTACACAGCACTCAGCATCCTGCCTGTGGCCATAGCTAGAAAGGCGCGTCCCTGTGTCCTCGTCGGCCACCATTTTAGGGCGGTCTCTGGATACGGTAAGATGGAGGCAGACGGAGAGCCCGAGGGGCTCCCCCTGCGCGCCCTGCCAAGCTGCGCAGCCCCGCGCCTCTCCCTGGTGATGCATTATTCACCATCCCCCTTCGGCTGAGTCAGGAGGAGCCAGACGGGACCGCGCGGCGGCGAGAACGCAGACGCTGACAAAGCCTGCAAAGCCTGCTTTACCCAGCCACCGTCCCGGGACCCTGCAGGCAAAGGCGGCCCCCCGCCAAGGCACGACAATGTGGGGTTTCAATGGGCTATTTGCTATCTGGAAATCTTTGCGATGTAGCCACTCTCCGTGCACTGTTGATTCATTCCTGGGCTAGCTGCCTTTCCTCTCTCTCTCCAAATACATGGCCCTTATGAAGAATCTGTCGGGGGAGCGCAGGATGCTGCCGGCAGCTGGGGTGGGGGTGGCTCCTGCAGGGGCTGAGGGAGCCTGTGTGGCAGGTGGCTTTTTCCTCCACCCCCTTCAGCACCCTCGGAGCCTGCCCTCTGGGTCCTTCACAAAGAAACCTGCCTCCTTCAGCGTCTAAAGTTGGGGGAGTGGAGTCTGAGCTGGGAAGGAATGGGGAGCATGGTCCGGGCTGTTTCAGACCTTCCTGAGGGACCCCGGGAAAGAAGAGCCCCAGAGGGAATCCTGGACGCAGAGTGACCTGCGGGGCCTGGGCTGCGCCTGCTGTCCATCATGGCAGGAGGAGGAGGAGGGCGCAAGGCGCATGTCTGTGCGTGTGTGTGTGTGTGTGTGTGTGTGTGTTTAAAGAATGTCAATTCATACTGTGATCCCAGGGAATATCTTCCTAACTAGGACAGACTTGAGAATAAATAGCCCTTCCTCTCTCCCACTCACTAACACACACACGCACACACACACACCACACACGTGCACACACACTGTTAGTTACTAAAGCTAGCCTATAACGCAAGGGAAAGCTGACCTTGAGAAATGCAATTTCCAGTTCCAGCTGAAGCCCGCACGAGGAGGCTGTGCCCCAGGCTCCAGGCGGCCTGCACACCTTAGGTGGGCCACAGGGAGGAACATCCCCCACGTGGACTTGGGTGAGGGGCCCTAATGTGGCAGCTGAGATGCAATTGAAGGGCCCAGGTGGAACCATGTCCACTGGCCTGGAATGTGCACTGCAGGCATCCAGCCTTGATGAAGATCATGGGCGTGTTGAGGTTTCCCATCAACCCATGCCTCTGTCTACACACACAGGGCCTGGGAGCTGAAAAGTGTGTTTATTCTGCTCCTTTCCTCCCTCATAAATGACTGCTATCAACACTTGGAAGAAAAGCCCAAGCTGGGCCTGAGTGAATGGAAGCAGAGCGGGCAGGCAGGGCTCACCAGCAAAATCTAAGTGTGATCGCCTGTGTAAGTGATTTCCATGCTTTGGCTCCTTAACCCTTTTTGAAATGATCCTTCTCTTCCCAAATGCATTTAGGGAAGGCAGGTACAATAATCTGCTTTCCTGTCTCCTTCCTTGATCTGGCTCTATCAGAGAAAAAAAGAACGTTTAAAATATAACCAAGAGAAAAGACAGTGATCAAATTATTTCAGTGAAAGAAATCCAGTTATAAGATATAAACATGTGCATTCAAATCTTGTTATGAACATAAACCTGTCTGTGTGGGTGTGTATCTGTAGGAAATACAAGATGGATACATATCAACAATGGAAGCAGCAATGTCTCTTGGTAGTATGAAAATTAATTAATTATATTTGATTTTTTATACTTTTTAGTTTTTTTCCCAAGCAAGATACAATGAGTCATTATTGCTTCTACAATCAGAAAACAATTAGCTTAAAGAAACAGACCATCTGAACAATTACCATAAAAATTAGCAATGACACTGTTTAAAGTTCTACTCAAGTACCTTGGTGCTCTCAGCAGGCTTTCTAACTTCTCATTGTATTTATTTTAACTCAACCCAGTCTCTCTTCTGGGCTGTGAAGATAGCTGTGATATAAACGGCTAGTGATTCTCAGTGTCTGCACTTCGCTTATGTCTTACTATATGAGAATATATGACCCCAATATTTAGCTGGGCATGTGGCCATCGGAGAATGCAACGCTTTCCAGCACCTTTGCAGCTGGGTGTGGCTTAGTGACTAAGTCCCAGCCCATCAAATATGAGCAGAGGTGGTGTGTGCAACTTTATTATATGTATTATCAGAAGAGGCAGGTCACCGAGACCTTTCCCTCTTCTCTTCTTTATGTCTGAAATTCAACCAAAACAGAAAGCCATTAATGACATCCTGACCATCGCAACTCCGTGGGTCCCAGCAGGCAGACTTGCTGGAGAGCTCTGCCTGAAGCTGTGTGGGGAGGGGCTGCCATTCAGGACCATTCTTTCCCCAGGTTTGGCATCCAGGGGACCACCTGGGTCTCTGTGTCAACTACTTCTTGAGCCTTGGGGCCATATAGACAAACTGACTCTCCTACAAACTCTACAGGGCTCCTCTCTGTAACACTTTTTGATTGAAATTGCCCAAGAATTCCCTAGCTATTAGATTACTCCTTAGGAATCTTCATTTTGTACCATAACATACCCAGTTCTCTTTCTCCATTTTTATCCCCCTCAAAACAACCACTGCCAGCCCCCTTATAAACTGGGGGAAGCAGGTGAATGTTCCACTTTCCAAAGCTCTTGGAGCCTGTGTCTGAAATGCTTCCCTACTCAGTGACGGTATTTACCTCAGCCTGGAATTTCCTTCCCAAGTCACCTTCCTGGGTCTGCCCTGGGCCAACACATGACTTGGGTTCCAAGGTCTGCAATAAGCTTCTGGTAACAGCCACTGTTCCGCACTAACTGGCTCTCAGGGACCTGTTAAAGGATGCTTGTTTCTCTAGAAGATTCATGCTCGTTTCTCTAGAAAATTCCAGAGCTCTTTGGGTCCCCACCAGCCAAGACTAGAAAAGCCAAGTGAAGTCTCCTATCTGAATCTCTTGCTTTTGCTCTTGATGAAGAGCCATGCTTTTCTCCTCCTCCCCCTTTCTTATCACCACTGGTTAGGAATATCTACAAGGAGTTTCAATCCAGTTGTGCAAAACTTTGGGTTGAGGATGTCCCAGCTTTGCCTGGCCACGCCCAGGCTAGGGAGACCAAGCCACGCCTCCAGCCTCACATCTCCGTGTCCAGAGCGTCCGCCCCTCCCCAGAGGGATTTAGGTAGGTGGCTTGCACCATCTGTGATCATCAACTGATCCCAAACCTGTTGTAATTATGACAAGTTTCTCTGAGTCATGGTCATCAAAGATTCTTTTTGAGTTCACAGCTATCCTAAATGTGGGTCTCTGTGACACACCATCATGTGACACTTTCTGTGGCCTCAGACACTGACCATTGATGTAACTTCCCAGTAGGATGTCTCAGGTAAGGCTCAAATCTCCATCCTCTGCCCAGGCCTCCTGGTTGTGGAAAACGCCTTGGATTTGGGCGAACTAGTCATTTCCACAAAGGCAGAGGCTTCATTCCCGTGCCTACTATGAATCCTATGCTTCGGGTGACAAGTCCTCATTCCTTGTCCCCAGGCATGCTGGCAACATGGACCCCGGTGCCATTCATCTCCACTCCAGATGAAAGCTGTAGTTTCTTAGAAATTCACATGTGGAAATGGGGCCTTGGCATCAGCTTCCACATCCTTTCTTCTTCAGGAGAATTCATCTTCTGGGCAAATTCCAAATAACTTCAGAGTCCACCAGAAGATCTACGCTGGGTCGTGATTCCTCCCAACTGAGTAAATTGGATCCTAATTTCTCTCCAACCTCCTGGCTGCAAATTTATCTCAATCATGTCTTCAGCCGTTCCTCCTGCACTTGAACACAATTCCCAGCGGTTCTGTAGAGTCCAAACACCAAAGGGAAAGTTCTCCAACTGTTCCCATGGAGGTACTCCCTGTCTGTTTTAGATAAGCTGACTGAGCTGAGTTTGGACACAGGGATGTGTTATCACTGTCGCCAAGGATGTGACACTCAATGTCCAGGGTCCTCACATTTTTCATGACCTCTATGTACATGGGGCCGTCTTGTCCCCAGGCCTTGGGGTACAACAATTGCAACACCATCAACACCAAGCATACCTTCTGCATGCCCACCGCCTGGCTGCTCTTCTTTCTCATCACAGAAAACGTCACACCATAACTCTTTCCTCCACTGGCAGCGTCCAGCCTGCTTTCTTTCAGAAAACCCAGTCTTTCACAGATAATGGTTTGTCTTGTCTCCTGGTGGCCTGGACACTTCTGCTTTTGATCCTGTGCCCCAAAACATGAGCAACCCAAAGGCAAGAGAGCACGCACACTTGGCCACAACAGAGGGAGAAAAACATCACAGCATCTCAGGATCTTCTTTTACAGGTGTTGATATCAGCACTGCGTCTGTATTTAGTCGATGGGCTTTGGTGAAGGAGCCTATCTTTGCTCTCCTTCAACTCTGTTAACAGAAGTGTGAACATTGAAGAACGTGGCATCCATGAGTGCAGGAGGCCAGTGGGGGTGTGAGACAGTTGGGACAGGGTTGGTTATCCCTTGCCTAGTTGTTCACTTGAGAGTAATTTACAGGATCTTTGTTTGTGTTTTGACTGCTTGGGAGCTCTCTTCTACCTGGAGTCTCATATTTGGTGAGATTGCTGCATAAAGGCAACATTTCTTCTTCTTTTTTTTTTTTTTTTTTGAGATGGAGTTTTGCTCTTGTTACCCAGGCTGGAGTGCAATGGTGCGATCTCGGCTCACCGCAACCTCTGCCTCCCCAGTTCAGGCAATTCTCCTGCCTCAGCCTCCTGAGTAGCTGGGATTATAGGCACGTGCCACCATGCCCAGCTAATTTTTTGTATTTTTAGTAGAGACAGGGTTTCACCATGTTGGGCAGGATGGTCTTGATCTCTTGACCTCGTGATCCACCAGCCTCGGCCTCCCAAAGTGCTGGGATTACAGGCTTGAGCCACCGTGCTTGGCCCAGGCAATGCTTCTTTACAGAGCTTGCTGGCCACTGGTGAGCCAGACTACTTCTCTTCCTTTAGCTAGCATTGCATTTCTATTCTTTTCAGAAATTAACAGAGTTTAAGACAGTCAGGTCTCAGCATATAATCTCAATTTCTGTCATCAAATCATCTCGCATCACTTATAAGAATCATCCCAATATTGTATCTGCATGTTCTCCTCTGACAGCACATGCCTTTTCTGTACAACAAAATGTCGCCCTAGGTCTTACCTTGACAAAAGCTACCTCAAGCACTCTGAGGGCCTCAGGAGGTGCAGGAGGGACTGTAAAGCCTGCTGATGGGACTTTGGGTGGACCAGCAACAGGAATGATGGTGGGGAAGGCCTAGAAATGATTCCCTTCTGAGACCAGGCAGCCTAAGGAGAAACCAGAGAAATGCATCACATACAAAGGAGGCAGCAGTGCTGTCTCCATAAATCGCAGCCCGTGGGCCTTTTAATGTGTCAGCGTAACCCGCCGTTAACCATATTTAATTGCTATCTACAGTAAGTTCCGTAGATCATTACCATAGCAGTCATTTTTCAAAGATCCTCGTTAGCACAGGACTAGCGAACACAATAAAAGACGTGACAGGACATGGATAGAGAAATGCGGTGGAGACAGAGCTCGCGCAAGGCAGCCAGCTCGCAGAGGAAACCCCCTCTATTTCCTGGTTCCCTCACACCCTGAGGTGGTGTCCACAGTGCCTGACTAGAGCGGAAAAGGGCTGACGACACCGAAGTCCACACGTGAAGTGCCTGAAAATAGCACCTTCCTACAAACACTTAGGCTGGCAATCCATCCATTTGGCAGGTATATATGTACTGTGAGCCCACCTGGAACCAGACGCTCTGCTAGGACACTGAGATTCAAGGTCAAGGGAGGCAGGGTCCCCATGGACCTTGCAGCTAGGGACAGAGCTAATAGCAGGAGACAGTCCAATCCAACTCACTTGCTTTCTTTCAGTGACTTTATTTTCCATTTTGTTGTTACTTTTTTTTTCAAGTCTCGTGTTGGAATTTGGATTATGCTACTTTATTTTTTCCTGTAAGATGCTTTTCGGATAATCAAAGGCCCATTCTAACCCCTCCATGACCTGCAGCTCCTTAGAGGTGAATTCTCCTTTTATGGAGTCTGCTCCTCCTCACCATGATGAGTCTCCACAGGAGCTGTTGGCTCACCTTCCTTAGGAGTCATTCTCCCATGGAGTCTCAGCAATGCCTCGAGTTCTGCAGGCATCTTCAGTGGGGCAATGATTTTTGTGCTGGGCTCAAGGCCTTCGGGTTGGAGTCTGTTCCAGACCAGCTTTTACCTTAAATTCCTGCTCAGATTTTCCCAACAGCACAGGCAGTGCCACATTTGGGGTCCTGACTCTACTGTGTGACTCCTGTTTCACCCCAGGCCCAGGCCCAGCATGAGCTTTTGAGATGCATTCCTTGCTACAGAAGGCTAAGCCCTGCTGGTTTCTATTCAGAGACACAGGGACTCCACCCTGGCTCCTGGCTTTAGAAAGCTGCTCATCCTAACGTTCATTCTACACAACATCTGCAGGCCCCAGACACCCCCAGGCAGACGTTAGGTTCTCAGCCCCTGAGATGCAGCTCTCGTCGCAACAGCTCATAAGATTCTGTCCTCTGGCATGAGAAAATGTAATTTTTTGTGCTTTTAAAGTATGCCTATGTGATCTTTTAAATGATCTTTTCTTGATGCTATGAGCATTCGGTTAATGGGTTCAAATGTAATGCATCTTTTAAAATGTGCCATACATGACCCAGTATTTCTCTGCGTTTGGAGTGTGGAGCTGCAGGTGAAAGGGTGTGTTCCACATTTTGCCCCCCACCCCATCTCATCACACAAATTCACCCTCTACCTTAAAAGAGAGAACCTGG